ACTCTTTTAGATAGATATGTTTTGTCTCTCTGCTTTCTGTCAATTCATTTATAAGATTCAACCATTGCAGTTTAATTATTCTTATGGTTTCAGTAATTAGTAAGGATTTGAACAAATAATGAATGTAATTGTTGCTTCTCACTCTCTGATCTCTGCTGTTTGCATTTTTGATTGGTCAAAATATTCGACTAAGACTATTTTCCAAAGCGTGTAATTAGGCTTCATTTCTTCTAAGAGTGTTCCAATTAGTATTAATTAATGTGTTACGTATTGTAATTTAAATTATACTTATTATATTATATTATTTAGCTGAGACTGTAAACAAATAATATGTTATCAACAATATGTGCAACTGTGCCTGTAATATATGGTTTCAGGAGACAGTTTTGACACGAATGTGACTGTGTGGATTAGATGTGCTTTCTGTGATGGTTGTGACTTCATTGATATGCTAATATGTGCGATTATTTTAGCATACAAGCGTTAGATCATATATGAGGTCTTAGTTCTGTTTGTATGTTGTATCGGGGTTGTGTAGTGTGGGTTTACTCATAAACATATCATTTGATTCAAGATAATTTGAATGGGACTGTCCCACGTCTAGATAATACTACAGCGATGTGTCTTTGGATTTATCTAACATACCACTGTTACATGCTTCTTAGAAAATATATTGTTGGTAGAGAAAAAGAAGACACACAGTGTGTGTCTGTTTAAGCGGCGTGTGAGTGTGAGAGAGATTAGCAGAGAGAAGGATACAGAGACGCACAAAGAGAAGAACAGACACGCACAGATAGTTAATGAAAGGGTATGTGTGTGTGTGTGTGTGTGAGAGAGAGAGAGAGAGAGAGAGAGAGAGAGAGAGAGAGAGAGAGAAAGAGAAGAAAGAGAAAGACATAAAAGGGAAAGAAAAACTGAGAATAAAAGAGAGTAATACACGGTTAACCAATGACATTTCAAACCGTTAATGAGTGTAAATATTGATTCTCACTGTACATATGTAAATATACAGTTGTACAATACTCATCACCATCATCACAATCATCATGTGCCAATACATGAATAAAATATAAACTATAACTTTAGGGTTCTGTTTTACCACGGTTATTCTCTGTTGTTGTACACAACCAAAGCTATTGACTTCTAGTTCCCTGCTTATTTCCTATCCCTGCTATCTTGTTTTTACTGTTAGTGTCTGGGTATACTTTCCTAAGTTGTGATGTGGACATGTGTTTGCTCCTAAATTGCTATCAGAAAATTAATTATTGAAGAGACATTAGCAAAGGAGTGTTCACAAAATATTTTACCATTCTAAAACAAAAACAAAACAACAACAAACTCACCTAATTAGTCATATTTTAGGGATGACACAGTTTACCTTCAGGCGCACGTAATTCACTGGCAGTCAGTGAGTTAGTGTGATGTAAGTCCATTAGATTTTCACTTGTTTAATGTTGAAATAAGAATAGACATCCTTGCACTCGGGACTGTCCCATAAGCGCCATGTCCCCATCTTCAACGGCAAGCAAAGAGTTCACATTGCGATTGCACCAGTAACTGTCTGATTGTATATACGATTCGCTTTTCTCTGGAGTGTTGAGCCTGGGTCAGATCACCTGGTACCTCATCGCAGCGCCCTTCTCCTCAGACCGTAATGATCTTTTTAAGCATCCACATTTTGCCCGGTCTCTTAAAAGTCCCTTACAACATCTAGCTTGTCATACATGAGTTTACAACGAAGAGCTGCAGAACCACCCAGTCTATGTGCTGTTTCAAAACACACGAGCATGACCTGGAGATAGTATCCAAAAGGCGCTAACTATCACAGACCTCAGAAACCATTTTGCACAGAGCATACATTCACTTGCTGAGACACAACACAGCGGTGAGCTGCCGTATTCCGTTGAAGAGTTAACCAACAGATGGTGCTTTTAATGCCATAAAGATGCTGCTCTTGACTATGGTGTTCCAGATAATTTGGACAATAATAATCTCTGGCGATATTCAGAGAGATGCAAACAGAATGATTCAGTGGTCTTTAGGAGACAATGCCATCAGGAACACAACAATAAAACACTGACAGATTGACCATACACATGGGGCAGAGGCTTGGCAAAGTCAAGTAGTACCCGGTGAGGACAATTTCTTGACACCCCTTCCACACACACACACACACACGTTTACATATATATCAACTATATTACATATACAATCAATATCCCGCCCCGTCAAGTCAGTCAATACCCCTATGCTCTGTTCAGTCAGCACTCACACACAAGAACATCAGCCGAGATGACCCTTGCCCTCTGAGACACGTGACCAGGTGACTTATAGAAGTGACCTACATCTCTGATCTAAAGATAGCACCTCACACTCGTAAAGTGCCGGTCATATTTTCCTTATTTAAAGTCTTTAGGAGGTGCATATAGAATAAAGAAGCACGTCTTCAATACAGATTATGTAGCGACCAAGCGATCCCCCCCCCCCCCCCCAAAAAAAAAAAAATAGGCGTAAAGTTAGATGGGGGGGGGACGGGGGGGGGGGGGGGGGGTTATGGCGCGTCTTACCAGCCGATGGCCATGTCGTAGAGTTTTTAGGTATTTTAAAGAGGTAGCTGTCGCAACAACTAACTCGCTTGCTCTCAATGACCATCACCTTTTGTTCAATGTTTTCGTGGTTAACCTCTATATCTAGAGACCTTTCCACCATCCGCCACCTGGTGGACGCGCTTAGTACTAGGACAGGCTCCTACCCCATATAAGTATTAATAAATCACCCTTTAGGTAGATACCGTGCAATGTGCTCTGCTAGGGGTATGTTTTGGTAAGCCACATTGCTTTCCGACGAACAGTAAAGTGGATACGACACAGCAGAGACGAATGTTCAATTACATGCTTTCATTCGCTAAATCACAACATATCGTAGGCACACATTCTCCATGCCTCGTGTTCGTTCCGCTTGGCTGATTCCGACAGCCTGGTCAAACTTCTCACACACTACTTCGATCCATCAGCGTCTTTCGAATTGTCCAGCCATCCTTTAACGAAACCTTGTACTCGGTATTAAGACATGTAGAAAACATTAATATCTCCTCTCGAAACATAAAAAGTATTCACAATTCATTCATTCTCCTCATGCCTCCATTCATACGACCTCTCGCAACCAGGTCCGAACTTCAACTGTCTTACTCCCGTCTCTCGGTTCACGTCCTCCATTCCATTCTCACGCTTTTCTTGTATCCCTTCTTTCGCTCACCATGGGATACACGAGACCCACTTATCTCGTTTTTCTCTTGTATCACTGGTCCTTGCAACCTTGTCCTCCCCATCAGGAACTCTCTGGGATTTCCCCGGAATTCACAACATTACATACCTCATCATTTAGTACGTCGTGTGTGTAATAAATTAGCTGTCTGAAATTACACAGCATGGCTTGGAGTATGTTGCATTCGGCTGCAGAGCTTTTCTAACTATATGTAGGTAGCACCATAGTGTCCAGCCTGCAGTGTGAAGGTAGATGGCTATCAGTTTGTTTTTATTACTTTTAATCATAAATTGTAACAATGACAATAATCTCAGAAATGGTGTTCTTTTTTAATGTAAATTTAAGATGTCATGCGATTGTTGTGTCCTGAAACATTTCACTATTACAATTTATATGACTGTCCCCGTTGCTTACCTGTCAACATCACCTTGCCCGCCCTCCTTTACTTCCCGGGACTGTACCTGGCACCCATCCTAGGCTGAGTCGACCTGGGAGCCAGCGTTATTTTAGAAAAAGTCCGGACCCCGTCAAAACCCAAACCCACGACCTTCTGATCGGCAGAGGAACATCTAGCCGCTAAATCAAAACAGCTCCTATAGCTTATAAGTGACCTTTCTAACTTCTAGGTTGCTAGTAGACTGAATTACTGTGCCGCTAAAGATGTTACGGTGGCCCTCACGGGAAACAAGGAATAGTAACAATGCACACTACCAGACATGTTGTTGGAGGCGAATAAGGGTAGGATTGAGCTTGGGGTTGGCTACCTCATCCTATAAAAACAATAGCCACAAACACCAACAACCGTGGACAAAAAAGAAAAGTTCGTCGATAATACTTCTCTTCTGACCCATTCACGGAATCAGTTTGAAGATAATTCAAGATCAGAAAATCCATAACGGAAAGAGAAAGATAATGAGAATAAATCAGGGCAATACTAAAATGGTATCGCATCGCAAGACGTGAAGTCGTACACCTATTTGAGTTCTAATGTGGATAAAGATAGGGAAACTGACAGAGACATTAAAATACGAAAACAAAAATTATGAGTAGCTTTGAAAGCACTGGGTAGTTTGTGAAGGACAAAAGAATTTAAAACTAATATTGTACTTAAAATGTTTAATTCTTATGTCAGATCAGCAATTACAAATAAACTGCATACATTTGTTAACTGGTGCCGGCGCAGAATAGATGGAATTATATGGTATGATACAGTCAATAATGTAAAGCTTAGGGAGAAAAGTAAACAAGTTTCAGTTGACCATGAAGTGAGGACATGACGCTGGCGAAAACGTGAGAACAGCATAAGTAGAATGTTTTTGCACTGAAACCTATATTTTCATAGAAATGACGGAATACGACAAAAATTTAAAAAAATAAAAATAAAAAAAGCGGGGGAAGGGGGAGGGGGCGGGGAGAAGCTAGATAGTTTACTTAAGAAGATGAGAGGTGTGGGTGGGGAGAGAATGAGGAGACCTGCATATGATAGGGAAAGATAGAACGACTTGGCGTAAGCTGGTTGAGAGCCTGTGCTCCACTGGAGGTTAGCAAGGTAGAAGAAGAAGAAAGATGTTAGTCTAAAACATGTGTCATCAGCACGAAACTTTTGGACAGCTCTGCTTGAAATAGTGTTTTTCTTGATGACACGTAGCAATGCTTGTCATAAAAATGATAGCAAGAATTACAACAGGTATTCAGCTTTGCTGGACATATGGTCGGAAAGCGGGACTCCATTCTGATTAGAAACCCGAGTCTGAGTGTGTAGAAGCCATGGTATCCCTGCTCGAGTAACTCAGGATGTCAGAGAAGCGTCGCTGCAAAAAGTCCTTCTTAGACAAACCGCCCAGAGACATGTTTGGCATAGGTCCTTTAGTTGAGTGATGGCTGGCTCGGATTCGTATACTGGAGAATCGAACCCTGTTCTTCCACTTATTTCTGTGCTTGACTTGGTGCCCATCACTGACCGACTGAACTGGCCTGCCATTGCTAGCGCTGTTTTCAAATAAAGTATTACTTCCAGCGGTTGTGGACGTTTGTTGTGTCACTGGATCGTCTGTGTCATTAAATGCCGGATTGTCTCCTATATACTTTGATATGGCTGCCGCCATCATGTCTGAGTTGTACCTGGTGTGGAGTGACCTGAAACAAGCAAGGTTAGTTAGTCAATTGATTCGCTAGTTAGTTCAGTTCGCTAATCAATAGATCACTCAAATTGCTCATCGAACCAATCGGCCCAGATGTGTTGGGCTGCCCTCCTCAGTAAATCCTTCAGCGTGCAGGAGCTGACGACACCAGTTCTGTGTAGGGTCATTCATCTAATCTGGCTTAGTGGGAGCTATAGAACAGCTCGCGAGAAGATCAACAACTCATACTTTTGCCCCGACAACAATCATATCAAGAGATGCGTCAATGATCGACACAAATCATTCTGGATCCCATGTTTTCTTTGATACAATTATGAAGTTATGGTGTTGAAATAAAGACGTCACCAGAATATGGTCACACTTTTGAGGCAATGCAGTAAGAAATTGTCTATCGTATGCAAGTAAGTCTTTCGCATTTTCTGAGATAATGAGGATAAAAACATTCAATGCCCTCTCACATACGAGTAGACAAACAACGGAACATTGGAGCGTCTCCGGGTTTGGGTATCTCGAGCATTCACTTTTACACCTGATGGAACGGGTTCCCTTCCCAAATCAAAAGTGTGAGGAACACCTGATGCATCATGAACAAGAAGATGATGCTTTTATCTACCGAACAGTCGCTTGTAATGAGTCACAATTACATCATTATAACCCTGAAACAAGCGACATTCTATGGAATTCAGTCATAAGGACTCAATTACTCAAAGTTGCTGTGTTGGTGGGAACGCTTTAATGGTGACTATCTTCTGAGACTGCTACTGCGGAATTCACGGCAGAATCGATAAGAATGGCAATACTGTCAACTCTGATCACGGTCGGAAACATTCCAGAAATTGCCACCAAGATTGCTGCTTATTTTTTTCTTGGCAAACACGCGGTTTTTCAACGTAGCAATGCCCTCTCACATACGAGTAGACAAACAACGGAACATTGGAGCGTCTCAATTTTGATGACATTTTAGCGCATCGAGCATTCACTTCCCATTTAGTAAATTGTAATGTGTCCTGTTGCCAAAGTTCAAGGAATATCTCAAGGAAAACAGATATGCTTCTGACGATGATGGGGCATCTTGGTTTTGCCGAAGTGTCACTGGTGATGATTCATGGATCATTATATCAATCATCATCTCCCTGAAAGCTAGAGACTTACTTAAAGATAACCCAAGCCTTTATCTGTACATTATGCATATCAACATAGTTATGTCCTTGGAGGCATTACTTTTGAAACCTGCCAAGTATATAATAACTATCGTATGCTTACTGTATGTTGTGTTCCACAAAATCTGCTCCGATCTCTTCTTCCTCGGCGGTCATACGTAAACCCATGGTCATATCGAGGATCTGGAGGATGATGCCAGAGGAGACAATCGTCCAGGCGGTGATCGAAACCACAGCAAGAGCTTGTACCCCCAGCAGGTAGATGTCTCCACCCTGTGAACAAAACAAATATATGAAGAGTGGGTATCTGCAGCAATAAGATACGGAAAAAAAATTAATAACTAGCAAATATTAACACGCATACAAAATCAGTACAGTCTAAAAAAGACAGATTATTTGGAAAAAAAGACCCTATAAAACTATATCAAAGACAACAGACTAAAAGCAAATACTGCCCTCCAACAAATTCATAGATAGATAGAAACATCCTCAATTCTCAGTAGCTGGTCTCTCCTCAGCCCCCGTAACACCTGCAGCTGAACTTAACACATATCCTATGTCCAGCTGAAATTATCTTGAACAACAATATATATGTTTTCTGTTTAAGCGGAAAGTTATTTAACCAAACTCTTCAGTTCTTAGTTCTGAATTTGTACTCGTTAAAACTTATCTAACGTTGCACAAACTGTTTCCTGAAATCAAGATCGCTTGAAGCAAAGAGGTTAAACTACAGATTGCTGAAGGTTTCATTCTGTATTACAATGAAAGACTACAGTGCCGTTTTGAAATAAATGAGGCTTAACTAAAAATCTTAGGAGCATCTACACGTGGAAAGTGAGACCGCGAACTTTGAAGTTGCCTCGTACTCACAGAGTGACGAAGTTTTCCTGGACTCACTGAGTGACGAAGTTTTTCTGGACTCACTGAGTGACGAAGTTTTCCTGGACTCACAGAGTGACGAAGTTTTCCTGGACTCACAGAGTGACGAAGTTTCCCTCACTGACTCACGAAGAGTGACGAAGTTTTTTTCCTGTGACGAAGGTTTTCACAGAGTGACGAAGTTTTTTCCTGGACTCACAGAGTGACGAAGTTTTCCTGGACTCACAGAGTGACGAAGTTTTCCTGGACTCACAGAGTGACGAAGTTTTCCTGGACTCACAGAGTGACGAAGTTTTCCTGGACTCACAGAGTGACGAAGTTTTCCTGGACTCACAGAGTGACGAAGTTTTCCTTCTGCCTTTGAGCGTTCTGGTGAGAAACAGGTTGCGATCAATTGCTTGATAGCAGCAATGGCTATTGTAACTCCGTGTCGATGCAGAAGCTCTGTAATGTCATCCGTCCATATTCTACTAGGACGGCCTCCTGCCTTAACTTCAGATCCGTTCATGTGTAGCGACTGCATTGGTAGTTGTTCTGGCTGCATTCTTACTCAATGACCAAACCATTTGATCTTCTGTGTCTTAATGAATATGCTGCATGGTGTTGGTCCTACAGTCTGTCTGATAATATAATTTTTAACTTTGTCTCCGTTGGTTAAGTTGGAGGCTTCTCTCATGCATCTCATTTCACAGGAAGTAATTTTACGTAGGTTAGTCTTTGATAGTTTCCAGGTCTGGCACTGGTAGCACAGTCTTGGCATGAATAGGCTGTTTATAATCTGTTTGGATGTCTCAATAACGGTGTCATTTGGTGTATAAGTTGGCTCATTGAAATCTTGTTTCTATTTCCTGATCTATTCTTCCGTACTTCTAGAAAATACGTCCTAGATATTTAATTTCGTCAACTTGCCTCAGACAAGTACGAACGAACGAACGAACGAACGAACGAACGAACGAACAAACTTTATTTTCAAAGGGTTAAGAATTGGGCACGCAGGCCCGTCTAACATTCTGCCCTTCCACTCTGCTCCTTTCATACAATGTTTCATTTTTACCTCATTTCATAGTTAATAGTAATAATAATAATAGATAATAATAATAATTAATAAAAAGAGGAATGCACAATTAAAAATTTGAGAAATATAGAAAAGAAACAAAAGAACAAAAAAGAGAAGAAGAAAAAAAAAAAAAAAAACAATATCTAAGTCTTAATTACAAATGCTGAAATGTGCTCTAATTTATACTGACATTACTTGAACGTTTGAAAGAGTATAGTAATAAGCCTATTCAAAAAATGTAAGTCTTACAGGTTGCATAATATAAACATCATCAAAACCAATTAAATATAGTTACAAATATTGGAATGCATTCGACTGACATTGCTTCCCCCCCCCCCTCCCCGCCCCCCCCCCCCCAAAACCGTAATAAGAAATACATCAAAGCCTTAACCATTCAACACGATATGTAGCGGACTAGGAATTCCGCTGACCTGCAATAATTAAGTTTTAGTAGTATTGATGTTCATGTTAAATCTGCTATATGCTGAACTAAGCGTGTTCAGATGTTCTTGAAGTCTACTACCCTCATCGTAGAACAGTCATTGATCATCTGCGAATAGTAGCTTATTTATAGGGAGTGTATCTAATTCTTCCTCTGGAAAGTAAAGTTCTAATTTTCTTGATTTTCTGTGTGGACTGCTCTAAAGCTGGCTTCTTTTGATATACTATCTATGTAAATATTAAAAAGACAGGAGATGGCACACGTGCCTACCCCACCCCTGTATTGACTGTAAACATATCAGACATGCATTATTATGTTCTCATTGTGTTTTGGGATGATGGATGGATGGCATAGATTTATATCATTAAATGTTCTTCATTTTGTAAAATGATAGTAAGCATCCTTGTCTTACTTCCCTCTTTATGCTCTAAGATGTTCCCAACTGGTTATTAATTCCAATAGCTGCTGTTTGCTGCCAATAAATGTTCATTATAATTACTAAATCTTTTCTATCAATTTTTAATTTTTCTAATAGTTTGATTGATTCTTTATGTTTCACACAATCAAATGCTTTCGTATAATCAATGAAACACGAGTAAAGATCGTTTTGTACTTCTTTAGCTCTTTCTGAAAGAGTTCTGAGGTAACGTTCACACACAAAGAATATAATGCACACCGTTCGTCGACCCGGCGCACACATATTTTCACACATTGTGTGAACACTCCAGTTGAGCTCCCGAGATGGGGTGAAATGAAAGAAAAGAGCCACATGCAATACAGACACGTATAAATATGTCAAGTAAATGTCCATTTACACACAAGTGGCTCATCTCGCATATGAGGTCGGGCTTATATTGTTTAAAGACCTTGATGAGTGATGTCAACATTACCGGCCGCCTTCCTCTCCCAGGACTCTATCCTGTATCCACGATAGGCTTGGTCGACCTTGGAGTCAAAATCGTATTTGAACAATAAAATGAAGGGGAAAAAAAACCTGACTGCATTCGGATTTGAACTCATGACTTTTGATCCGCTAGCGGGCAAAGAAGAGACAGAACTGAAACTGATTACCTTAATAAGACCGTGGCGGCTGGCGAAGTGCTGTGTGATTGTGTCCTTGTGTGTGAAGAGCCCGGCCGCCAGAAGACCCCAGACTCCACCAACTCCATGGACAGGCACGGCACTGACCGGGTCATCGATGTGCAGTTTGACCAGTAGGCTATCCGACAACATCACCAGAACTCCGCCTACGAACCCGATGACCAGGGATTCTTTGACGCCAGTCACAGCACAGGTCGCTTTGAAAGAAATCACAATTCCTTCACATCAGAAAGATAGTGAGGTACTTACATAATTATCAAAATTATTTATGTGTTAGGTAGATGCCTGCCTTCGTAAATACCTAATTTTTACCCAAGAACCTGCATGACAAACGATCATTCTAAAATAAAAATAAAACAATAAACAAATTATTATTTAAAGTGAGTGCAATTATTTATTTTCTCATTGCTTTTGGAAAATTAGGACAACTCCACTATATATAAATGACTGGTTATACAAACGTTGGTCTCCATGAATAGTAGATGAAATGTATTGATATGTTTCTTGGACTAGACAGTCTACCGTGCTCAAGGTTATGGGTGGGGCGGTCTTTTGTTGTGTTGCATTTACGTTTTTATTCCCAGAAAGAGACGGCCTGTGACAGCGGTTTCATCACTCCCTAGGTTGTGTGTTAGAACCGGTCTTTAAATGTTTTTGGAGAGTTAAAAGCTCTGGCATGGTGAAATATACAACAGGAGATATCAGCGCCAGTGCGGAATAGCCCCGTGACCTCGTGTGAAAGTCGGATGGCTCTAGGGCGACCCATGAGGCGTGAGGTAAGCTGAAGGCTGACCAATCAGCGAGCTAGTGTGTAGTGTGAGGGGAGGGGGAAAAGGGAGGGAGCCTCAGCCACACGAAACCATGGCCCGTGGTAAGAAGAATCCGGTCCAGCGCCGGGGAACACCAGAGCCATTTTCAGCCAAAAAAGGAGGAAAGCACCTGTCGCCGCACCAGAACTGACGATGCCATAACCGGTCGACGACCCGGAGGAGACACCAGCCTCACGCACCCAGACGCCGCCAGCCCTGGATGTGGGCCCTATCGAGGCACCCCGTGCTACCTAGAAGCCGCCCCAGTCGTGGACGCAGGAGCCGAGCACACACCCGCCCACTCAGGTTTGCAGCAACGGCCGGGAGCCTACACCACAGAAGTTTTGCAGTGCTTCGTTTCAACAAGGCGTGGCACTCTGCCTCGTCAATGCCGCAGCAGCCCATCGTGCCGTTACTGCCCCGGCCCTCACCTATCAGGAAATGCCCTATGGCAAAAGTGGACCCTGACATTTAAAAAGCCGAACGCAAGCAGAAGATGTTCCAAACTGCTCCAGTGCACACAGCGCCAGGTACACGGGGTTGCCCGTACCTGAAAAGAAGTCAAGAGAGCGATGGCGAATACCACCACCAGGACCACTCACAAAGGCCAGAGCCGAAACAAAGATATCAGGCGGCCAGTCCGACAGCTGTGAAACAAAACGTCGTACGCAGCTGAGAGACGAAAACCAAATCCCTTGCGAAGAAGAGAACGCAAGAATCATGGCACTCAGGACTCAAGACAGGGACGAGATGATAGACCTGAGAAGCATCCTGCAGGCATCTCTCGAGACCCAAAGGAGACTCGAGGAGGAAAAAACAGAAATGGGCGAAGTTTAAAAACAGATTGATGGCAAATTAACCGAGCTCAAGAAGTTGAAGGAAACAAATGCAGTAGCCGCCCCCCAAAGAACTGAAAGACAACCAGAAAACGTATACTTTTCCGAGGGTAGCCACCATCAAAAAAGACCTGACAGACACCAAAGAAAAGCTTCAAGAAATCAAGCGAAGAATGCGCCAAACTGAGCGCCGCACTGCAAGCCACCAACGAAGTGATAGATGCCAGAGAAACCGCAAGGAAAGTAAGCGGAAACGAAAAGGCAATCAGTCCTAAACCGAAAAAAAAGCACAGAGAGCAAAAAATAAAACACAGCAGAACTAGCAGACGAAGACCTCGAAGCAGCACTGGAGGAAGACAGAAAAGCGAAACAAGCCGCGAAAGAAGAGTCAGTCACACCCATAGAGCCGCAGAACTAGCCAAACGTGCTCATTAAAAAAATGGCAAGAGATGAAAGAAACTTCACCACATCTTTCCAGGTCCAGCCGGACAGTTGAACCAGCCCACCACCCAGCCCGGAGAAACGCCCCACAGCTCGCTACAGCCAGGCAAAGAGATGCCAAACCCAATCCCTCCCACATCTTCGAGGCGTTCCCGGCAAACTCTCTAGTTTCAGGGACTAGTATCTTGCCACTCCCAATGACGCGTTCCCCATCGAGATTACTCGCAAGAAATACTATAGGGACGCAGTTCGTCAGCTGGGAAAAAACTCTTGGACCACTCAAACAAAATAAACGCACAGTCCCAAAGTAAGATCTCACATTGGAGCTGGTTAGGGTGACATGAACTTGTGTTTTTTTTCAAACAAACCGGAACCGGCTAGTCATACTGTGTGTGCGAAATGTTTTGAGTGGGCGTGCAGTTAGGATGATGTGTGCCATGTAGGGAAATCGTGATTTTCACACATACACATAGAGTTAGCGAATGGTACGCTTTCCCTAACAGTTTTCTCACATACACATGATCTTTAGTGACATGTGCCAGTTTCCCTTAGAGTTTTCTCAAACATACCACATGAATCTTTAGTGCAACATATTGCCATAAACTGCACAGTTTATCCTTTAATACACCATAGCTGGGTAGACATTGCCAGTTTTCCAGAACAGTTTTCACACACACATATCTTTAGTGACATTGCCAGATAACCCTCAACAGTTTTCCCACATAGGTTTCCGCTTGCGACAGTGTCTACACAGTGCATGATAACCCTAGCACAGTAGCCACGGAAGTCGCAGGACCTTGTTTTCTGACACACCTCCTAGTTTATCGACATTGAAGAGTTTCCCTAACAGTTTTCACACAACACCATATCTCCTAGCGACAGATTGCCAGTTATGTTAACAGTTTTCACACATCACACGTATCTCTTTAAACACGACATAGTGCCAGTTTCCCTGGGAAAGCAGCGAGGACATTTTCACACAGAACACATCTACTGCGACATACAAGTTTCCCTAACGGTTTTGATCATACAGCCATGTCCTTTCAAGAACATTGCTCATTTCATAAACAAAAGTACGCATACACATATCAGCAACATTGGTCAGCCACCGCTAACACTTTTCAGACACATTCACATTAGCTTTCCAGGGACATTGCTTTTCTTTCCCTAACAGTTTTCATCACTGTCAGCTACATCATCTTTAAAGACATGAGAAGTTTCCCTAACGATGGTTATTCGGGGTGCACTGGAGACACATATGCGTAGGCAATGAGGTACCTTAATTTGATTGCTAACATGAACTTCCAGGATCAAATTGGAGTTTTCGTGCACATACAAGATACTCTTTAGGACATTGCACAGTTTCCCTAAACGTTTTAAAAAACATACAATAAGCTTAAGTCATTTTGATCCCAGGGGGTTTCCATCAAGTTCCAAGGGGTAGTCAAAAGAGATCAGTAAAAATCGGCGCATCCCGCGTTTTTTGGGTCTCTTATTTTAGGAAACCTATAAGTGTTTACATTGCGTTTTCTGGGACCCCTCAAAGAGTTTTCACTCCACATACTAGCAGGGAATCTTTAAAAAAACATTTGCCAGTTTCCTTGAGTTTTGATGGCTCAAAGATGGTCAAGTCTTACTGGTCTTGGAAGAGGGGAAAAATCTGAAATTCGTGTTTTCACACATACACATATCTTTAGTGACATTGCCAGTTTCCCTAACAGTTTTCACACATACACATATCTTTAGTGACATTGCCAGTTTCCCTAACAGTTTTCACACATACACATATCTTTAGCGACATTGCTAGTTTCCCTAACAGTTTTCACACATACACATATCTTTTAGTGACATTGCTAGTTTCCCTAACAGTTTTCACACATACACATATCTTCTGCGACATTGCAAGTTTCCCTAACAGTTTTCTCACATACACATATCTTTAGCGACATTGCCAGTTTCCCTAACAGTTTTCACACATACACATATCTTTAGCGACATTGCCAGTTTCCCTAACAGTTTTCACACATACACATATCTTTAGTGACATTGCCAGTTTCCCTAACAGTTTTCACACATACACATATCCTTAGTGACATTGCCAGTTTCCCTAACAGTTTTCACACATACACATATCTTTAGTGACATTGCCAGTTTCCCTAACAGTTTTCACACATACACATATCTTTAGTGACATTGCCAGTTTCCCTAACAGTTTTCACACATACACATATCCTTAGTGACATTGCCAGTTTCCCTAACAGTTTTCACACATACACATATCCTTAGTGACATTGCCAGTTTCCCTAACAGTTTTCACACATACACATATCTTTAGTGACATTGCCAGTTTCCCTAACAGTTTTTCACACCACATACACATTCTTTAGTGACATTGCCAGTTTCCCTAACAGTTTTCACACATACACATATCTTTAGTGACATTGCCAGTTTCCCTAACAGTTTTCACACATACACATATCTTTAGCGACATTGCTAGTTTCCCTAACAGTTTTCACACATACACATATCTTTAGCGACATTGCTAGTTTCCCTAACAGTTTTCACACATACACATATCTTTAGCGACATTGCTAGTTTCCCTAACAGTTTTCACACATACACATATCTTTAGCGACATTGCCAGTTTCCCTAACAGTTTTCTCACATACACATATCTTTAGTGACATTGCCAGTTTCCCTAACAGTTTTCACACATACACATATCTTTAGTGACATTGCCAGTTTCCCTAACAGTTTTCTCACATACACATATCTTTAGTGACATTGCCAGTTTCCCTAACAGTTTTCACACATACACATATCTTTAGTGACATTGCCAGTTTCCCTAACAGTTTTCTCACAGTGAATGACCCTACTATATGTAACAATCAAAATTGCTGCTTTCGTGGAAGCGTGTTCACATATAATGGGTTCTGAAATCATTTATAAAAGTGATATTCTAAAAAAATGTCAAGGGATAACAAGTATTGTAAACATTCAAGGAAGCGAAAGTTTCATGGTAATAGGTTTATGAGTGCTAGAAAGATATGCAGAGAATTAGATTTAAATCATACTATTAAGAAAGACAAACATTGACGATCCTACAAGTGATTTTGTGATACCTTGTGGTAATAATGGAGCAAGTAAATAATTTCAGTCTCGTTTTCAGGCTTGTGAGAATCCTGTTCCTGTGGCGCTTGCAGTGTGAATGTGAACTAGAAGGTCTCAGTGAATCAAATGTGAATATGAACCGGTCACGGACCTTGCCTGAGAAACCTGATTAGGTCGGTAGAGTCGGCAATATGGATGGATAAATTCGTCTGCTGTGAGTTGGAACGTGTTTAAATCCAAATTGGGTGACTGAAGTGCGAAACTATTGAATACTCGAAATTTTTCTAGGTAGAGGAAAACACGCTAGATCGCTGCTTATGTAGCCTGCTTGTTTAGATATCAACTTTCTGGCTGAGGAGATCACATCTGAAATGATAAACAGAACCGTTTGTTTCGGCTGAACAACGTTCTTGACGTTTATTTGTGTCTAAAATTTTGAGCAGACTGTATGTACTGAGCATTAAAGGTAGTGCATACAAGATGTGATTTTACTACACCGAGTAAACTCCTTGCCGGATAGGCTATGACAACAAAGTGACATCTGTCAGAATGATGTTAGTCTTGGGACATGTCCTAATGGAAACTGTATGATAGATACCTCGTTACCCAGTAGATACCTCGTTACCCAGTACATACCTCGTTACCCAGTAGATACCTCGTTACCCAGTAGATACCTCGTTACCCAGTAGATACCTCGTTACCCAGTAGATACCTCGTTACCCAGTAGGAGATCAGGAACTGAAAGGAGTGTAACACTTGTTACTGCAACCTTCAATGTTGCTGAGAGGCATATTATAATGTTACCAGGTCTATTTCAGCACAGCTCAACCTGACTGGCTTGTATTGGGTTTTGCTTTCTATTTCTTTGAGATGTTTTAGATGTTTTCCTGATTACAACTCTAGCGATGTGCTCACGGTGCTGTATCCACAAACAAAACTATGCCTCTGATAGGTATGCTGAGTGATGCAAGACAGACACCTGACTTCAATGATTATTACCTGTGATAGAGACAAGTCCAGCAAGGACTCCATTGATGATCTGTGGAATGTGGAACCTTTTCTTGTTGACAATGTAACTGTCAAGTTAAAGAGATCATCAGTTACATGCAGTTTATTAAGCAGGATCATGTGTGATATCTTATACACACACACACACACACACACAAACACACATATATGTATGTGTATATATATATATATATATATATATATATATATATATATATATATATATATATATATATTCACACTCCAGCTTTCTTTTTCTTTTTTAGCCTTACATTCTCTGCAGTCTGCTGTCAGGACTCTGGCTTTGAAGTCTATATAATATCGCATTTAATATTTCAATTATAATTTTTATTTTAATCAGATTTGATGGTAAAAGGCAATTAGTCTAATATTCTTATCACATCAAGCGCCATAGCGAATTGGAAAATATAATAGCAGAAGGTATGGTACCAGAACTGAGGAACAGGGGCCGACCGACACGAAGGTGGGCACAGGATATCAGTACCTCCTTGAATATAAAAGCACTCGAGGTCAGAGAGCTGAGGAGAAACAGATTTTTTTTTGCCAGGCCAGACCATGATGGGAGCGAAGTTTTTTAGGGGACCTACTACATGATGAGTCAAACATCAGTCCCTGCAAGCAGTGAGGGGTGAGGAAACAGCGTCTGCTCTGTCTGTAAAGTTCGATGTGGAAGTGGCAGTGTTTGCCTTATAGTCCACATAGAGACTTTGATACGCTCTCTTTCCAAGGCTGTCCCCCCAAACCCCCCCCCCTCCCCCACCCGGACGTCTCTTCTTCAAAGCTTGCTGCGTTTGGTCTCTTTCAAACTACAACAGTTCGTCCTTCACTGTCTACCTCCAAAGGAGTCGGTCTGCAGCTGATCTCTCCAAAATGTCTGGGCCAATAGTGATATATCTTTCAGTTGCCGTTTATAGCGTAGCTTTGACTTTTCTGTAGGTATTACCTCTGTTACCAGTTCACCAAACAAAAGAACCTATGGAATACGACCGTCCAGCATGCGAAAGGCACTTCCCCAAACTAAGCAGGCTTCTTTGCTTCAGTATGGAGTACATTGTTGGCATTTCTGAGCTTTCGAGTACTGGAGACACAGTTCACTGGGGATATACCGAGAATACATTCTTTACAGCGCATGTGGAAGGTATTCATTCTTTATTCTTAAGAAGCATACAAAGTGCAGGTTTCATTGCCTTGAAGGATTGCGCTCAGGACGCAACCTTCATAAACTTTAATTGTGGTCCTTCTGTAAGCTTTTTGTTTGACCACACTCTTGTTGTGGGTTTGGAAAGGTTTGGATTTATAAGCTTTTGTTTAAATACCTATAATTATTGAACTGTGTAGTTAGTGCATCAATATCGTAGCATATTGAGATAATCAAACACAATCGTTTACACACAGTCGTGGTGATAATGTATACCTACGAACTGTAATACATATTCCATATTATCTAAAAATGCATTAAATTTAATTAAATTAACTAAATATATAATCGAATAAGTTACTATGCATGACACTAGTAGACATAAACTAATTGTATAAACAAGTTAGAACTGCACTTCAAAGAAACGTTAAATAAACTAAATAGAAAATAATGTAGAGAACACATTTGTAATCTAAAGCACACACACACACACAAAAAAACAAATCGTAAGCCTGTTGAAAGGTTCTCTCACTTAAAGAAGGTAGAATTCTTTTTTTTTAAATGTCATTGATATTTGATTTTTGAATGTAATATTTTGTAGAAAAAAAATATAACCTGTAGGCAAACCCCACAACTCCGCCAGCTGAAGACGCCATGAGAGTTGTCGCCGCTGCTCTGCGGATCAACCAAAGGACAAGAACACATTTATAACATGATGTGATAAGTCTGTGAAAATGTTGACAGGGGAAGAAACACATCGCTTGACTGATTTTATAAACGGACAGCTACAATAAACACAGGACCTTGTTGCCATAGGCCTTCCTATGATCTACTCCACCTTACATTTTGCATATGCTTTATTATTGTCTGTCTGCATGCATGCATGCTTATGTATTTACAGAATTTGTCCTTTTTTAAGTGCGATTAATTCCTCTATGTAGAATGTTTGTTCTGTAAAAATCCATGTTTAAACCGTATGTACAATTATTGTCATATCAGTACAATGTTAATTTTGCATGTAAAATTGTGCTAGGCTTGTTTTTAAAGCGCAATGCTTGTCCTGTAAGTACTATGGTTGTCCTATAGGTAAAGTGGATGTCCTATGGGTAAAGTGGATGTCCTAAAGGTACAAGTGATGTCCTATGAGTACAATGTGTATCCTGTAAGTAAATCGTTTGACGACATACCTGGAAGCGATTTTCCATTTGCCACCAGAAATCCCGTAAGTACTGCCGCAGTTGAAGGCCAGCCATCCCCACCTGAAGCGAGAGAAAAGACCTGAATGGTTATTCAACAGTTAACAACATCGGTTACACATAAATGTGGTCGTGTTGAGTGGGAAATAAATGTGCATGACCCTTTTCACCCTTTCGGGGCGCCTCGTAGATCCTACAGAAAATTTATCCGTATACCATAGACCAAAAAACAAAAACAAAATACGAAATATTTTTTATAATCTTAACTTCGACGTAACATGGCTCGTTAAAGGCATCCTGTGACAAAAAACTGGGATATTTAGGACATGTCAAGGGTTATGACTGCCTCGACAGACCCGTGATAAAGGGTAGAGTTTCTGGAAAACGAGGCAGTGACAGACCTTCACCAAGGTGGATACAGTGACAGACCTGCACCAAGGTGGATACAGAGACAGACCTTCACCAAGGTGGATACAGAGACAGACCTCCACCAAGGTGGATACAGAGACAGACCTCACCAAGGTGGATACAGACCTCCAGCAAGGTGGACAGACCTCCAGCAAGGTGGATACAGTGACAGACCTCCAACAAGGTGGATACAGTGACAGACCTTCACCAAGGTGGATACAGTGACAGACCTCCAACAAGGTGGATACAGTGACAGACCTTCACCAAGGTGGATACAGTGACAGACCTCCACCAAGGTGGATACAGTGACAGACCTTCACCAAGGTGGATACAGTGACAGACCTCCAACAAGGTGGATACAGTGACAGACCTCCAACAAGGTGGATACAGTGACAGACCTCTCACCAAGGTGGATACAGTGACAGACCTGCACCAAGGTGGATACAGTGACAGACCTTCACCAAGGTGGATACAGTGACAGACCTTCAACAAGGTGGATACAGTGACAGACCTCCAACAAGGTGGATACAGTGACAGACCTCCAACAAGGTGGATACAGTGACAGACCTCCAACAAGGTGGATACAGTGACAGACCTCACCAAGGTGGATACAGTGACAGACCTCCACCAAGGTGGATACAGAGACAGACCTCCAACAAGGTGTACTGTGACAGACCTACAGATACAGTGACAGACCTCCAACAAGGTGGATACAGTGACAGACCTCCAAGGTGGAAGGTGACAGATACAGTACAGTGACAGACAGTGACAGACCTCCACCAAGGTGGATACAGTGACAGACCTCCACAAGGTGGTGGATACAAGTCCAGACAGGACCTCCAACAAGGTGGATACAGTGACAGACCTCCAACAAGGTGGATACAGAGACAGACCTCCAACAAGGTGGATACAGTGACAGAACCTCCAACAAGGTGGATACAGTGACAGACCTCCAACAAGGTGGATACTGTGACAGACCTCCAACAAGGTGGATACAGTGACAGACCTCCAACAAGGTGGATACAGTGACAGACCTCCAACAAGATACAGTGACAGGCAATACAGTGACAGACCTCCAACAAGGTGGATACAGTGACAGACCTCCAACAAGGTGGATACAGTGATACAGACCTCCAACAAGGTGGATACAGTGACAGACCTCCAACAAGGTGACAGTGAGACCTCCAACAAGGTGGATACAGTGACAGACAAGGTGGGATGACAGACCTCCACCCTCCAACAAGGTGGATACAGTGACAGACCTCCAACAAGGTGGATACAGTGACAGACCTCCAACAAGGTGGATACAGTGACAGACCTCCAACAAGGTGGATACAGTGACAGACCTCCACCAAGGTGGATACAGTGACAGACCTCCAGGTGGCAAGGTGACAGATCCACAGTGACAGTGACAGACCTCCAACAAGGTGGATACAGTGACAGACCTCCAACAAGGTGGATACAGTGACAGACCTCCAGCAAGGTGGATACAGTGACAGACCTCCAGCAAGGTGGAACAGACCTCCAGCAAGGTGGATACAGTGACAGACCTCCAGCAAGGTGGATACAGTGACAGACCTCCAGCAAGGTGGATGCAGTGACAGACCTCCAGCAAATTGGATGCAGTGACAGACCTCCAGCAAGGTGGATACAGTGACAGATACAGTGACAGACCTCCAGCAAAGGTGGATACAGTGACAGACCTCCAGTGACAGACCTTAGACAAGGTGGATACAGTGGATACAAGGTGATACAGTGACAGACCTCCAATGCAACAAGACACAGTCCAACAAGGTGGATACAGTGACAGACCTCTTGCAAGGTGGATGCAGTGACATACCTCCAGCAAGGTGGATGCAGTGACAGACCTCCAGCAAGGTGGATGCAGTGACAGACCTCCAGCAAGGTGGATACAGTGACAGACCTCCAACAAGGTGGATACAGTTACAGACCTCCAGCAAGGTGGATACAGTGACAGACCTCCAACAAGGTGGATACAGTGACAGACCTCCAGCAAGGTGGATACAGAGACAGAGACGATGCATTAGTTATGAAAGAACACATGGCTAATGAATCAGCGAAAAAAAGAGAACCTTCAAGGATGCCGTGACAAAAACGAAGTTTTGTTAAAAATCTTCTGATTGATGATGATTGTGCATGGTATTAGACCAATATTTTATTGGCACTCCAAGGATAATATGATCAAAACAACACTGACCGCCTTTACTTCCCATAATATTTATGGAAGCCGAGGTCATTTCAGGTAAAATTCCGCATAGATGGGGATTCGAAATAAAAACCTTCTATCTGGTTTACAGGCGAGCGTCTAGCGACTGCGCCATTGCGGCTCGTTCCGACCTTCAGATTTTCTAGCCTACAATACATAAACGTGGGCTCAGTTGCTATGAGGAAGCAGCTTCTTTGTGTGTTAGTTTCTTTCAAGTAATCTTTATGACCTTTTTTTCTCACCAGGGTATTCTCACTATTTATTTGTAAAACTATATCTCTGTAGCTTCCAAATGCTAAACTATTTTCATTATTGGTTCATGATTTACTTCCGTATATCAGGATAGAATTTAAACAACTCTTACGAATTCTCTTTTCGTCTCAACTGACGAAGAAAGATTACATATAAAATTCTTCCTATCAGGGGCAGTACATTCACGTGATTGTCTGTAATGTTGACACACTGATGCTTGGTATCCACTCGTGCCGTATTTGTCCATTTGATCCTCCAGCAGTTCCGACCTAGAATCAGACACAAACATTCCTCATGTAACTTTGTTTTCTGCTTTCCACCTCAGAGCTGCAGTGATTGCCTCCGCTTCTATCCTCATACTTGAAATTATAGATAAAAAAGCACCATTTTGTTTTGCCACAATCTGTTTCTCCATTCTAGCTAAAAGATCAACAACCAGGTCTTACACTCCCAAAAAATAAGCGATTAGTGAACAGTGTTGTATCATCTATATCAAATCCATCACCCAAGTCGCCGAAGAAGGAAAGGAAATATACAGAAACCCACAATACTGGGATACAAGCTGTTTTCAGTGTGACGACAAAAGACGAAGAAGAGATGATCCAGTTTCACCTTTCACTAATGCAATGATATGATTTTACTGGACCAGTATCTCCGCGGGACTGTCCCAGTCTGATACATCTGGTAACATGCATTTTCTGGCTAGAAGAGGTATGAAAGAAATAAACATACTTGTTTTAATATGCAGTTATCTGGTATACGCAAAGCATTTTATAAATGAGATTCCGTTTTCAGTCCTTAACTAAGGGGTGACATCTACTAGGTCTATGAACATTTAGCCATACGTTACCACAAGATGAACAGTCCCAGTAAGGCCCCTGTGGGTGAACCCATGTGATGGTCGTCTTCTGGTGTAAACCTCTTGGCCCTTGGCTTGATCATGAGGGCAGTAATTAATGCAGTAGCTCCGCCTACCAAATGTACCGGCCCATCACCAGCTACATCGACCACGCCCATCTTGTTCAACCAGCCATGTTTAGACCACACCCAGTGGGCGGGGAAGCAGAAAACGAACGTATTGAAGAAAGAAAAGATGATGTATGCGAGGTACTTCATCCTTTCTGCTACTGCTCCTGTGGAAAAATCCAACGCGGCACTTTATCAGCAACTGTTACTTAGGAGTTCATTCAAAGTTTATGTTTTGACATCCTTAAGTTTCACAGCTCTAAGCTTTATGATTACAGTGACCAACTCCCAGTCTGTCCTTCTCCACAGAGACTGCAGATGCTAATTTAATGAATAGACAGACTTTTTGACGGAGAGATAAACAGATATGCAGGGATGAGATGCCGACGAGAAGCTCACAGTCTAATAATAACATTTCATTTCTAATTCTAATGCTATCAATGTTTTACAAGTGTTGATTAGAATACAGTGATGTTTTGTTGCTCATCCACTCACATTCCAAAATGTAACATTAATCCTCTCATACACTGTTTGACGATTTTATCACATACAAAATGGACCCATACTCACACACTTATACCTACACACTTTCACACACTATCTCTTGCATACTTTCAAACACATTGTTATAAATGCTCACATACCTCATCTGTCAATCACAGATCGAGAAACGCCTGCACTATTCATTGACGAACATTCGCTCGCGCGCGCGCACGAACACACACACACACACACACACGCTGCCCTATAGCTGAAGTTTTGCAGACTTTCAGAGAACTAATTGAGTGTTAGACAAGCAGTCAATGAACATCCTAACCTGAGACAATGGTGGTCGCCGTTGTCGCGAATGAGCTCTGGAAAACGAAGCGGGAAAACTCTTCGCCCATGACCGAATCATCTGGATCAATGAAGAACTTGCCGATTCCACAGAAACTATTTGTGTAAGGGCCCTCGCCAAAACTGAAGCCGTAGCCCAACATCCAGTAGGAGATGCCGCCAAAGATGACGTCTGCAACGTTCTTCGCCATGATGTTGACCTCGTTCTTGGCGCTGACCGAGCCACTCTCCAGTAACCCGAAGCCTGTAATCGATGCAGAGATTATTTAAAAATTACCCCTATAACAAAGTTAAAAAATTGACTTTTTTCCACTCCTTGAGATCTCTTGAGGGCATGATGCTTAACCTATACTCGTACAGAAAATTCTGTACTCAGTTGGTTTTGTGACAGGTATAACCACGGCAGCTTTCACATTCCAGAAGATTACCCGATTGCCATTTTAAAATGCGTCAGTCTTGGAAAGCCACAAAAATATTTCAAACCAACCCATAGTTAAAGTCATTTGATTCTTTGACCGCGACATCGGAGAGACGGCGTGCTACCCAGTGCACTAATGTGGTCCCAGACGCATCTTGTGTGTCTCTACAACAATGGCAGATTAACCCCAAACAAGGATAACAACTGGACAGCCTCCTAACAAAACACAAAAACGATTAAAACATGAACGTTCAGACTAGAGTTCCTTCATCAGCACATAACATCACCAACATTGATATAATTACATTACAAACTAAATTTTTAAAGTTAGTTGAATCATGAATGAAAGTGGCTAGCCAAATAATAATAATAATATAATAATAATAATAATAATAATAATAATAATAATAATAATAATAACAACAACAGCATGCACAATTTACTGACACCTAGAGAGATAGACAACATATTAAAATGAGAACCCTAAAATGTTATGAATAATCAACCCCTTTGTTTGGTGCACAAACCTGAACACTGAACAGGCAGTCAGAAAGGGATATTTAGTCTCTGGAGACGCCTCAGTACAGAAGAGTATCTGGTAACTCACAGCAACAGAGAGGATCAATTACAGGCGTCTCAAAGAGACTATGAATAAAAAGATAAGTTGTTGAAGAAACAATAACAGAGACGTGATTATTTAGGCTATATAAAAAGCCATAACGCTCTTATGAAAGCCACACTTGATGGAAAAGTTAAAGGAGGGGAGCCATACAAGTGAAAGGATAACACCAAGAGCTGGAATAGACATAGCATACGTGCCGAAGGAGACAGGAATTGAGTGTTGGAGATCCAATGTAGCCAACCTTTATTGTGGAGACGGAACCTAATTGATATACTCATTGTTAAATAATGACGTCCACACATGATCACATAACCCATCCATGCGTGACAACAATGTCTCGCTGCCGAGGACCCACACCAGTCAACCATGTCTCGCTGCCGAGGACCCACACCGGTCAACAATGTCTCGCTGCTGAGGACCCACACCGGTCAACAATGTCTCGCTGCTGAGGACCCACACCGGTCAACAATGTCTGGCTGCTGAGGACCCACACCGGTCAACAATGTCTCGCTGCCGAGGACACACACCGGTTAACAATGTCTCGCTGCTGAGGACACACACCGGTTAACAATGTCTCGCTGCTGGGGACTCACACCGGTCAACCATGTCTCGCTGCTGAGGACCCACACCGGTCAACAATGTCTCGCTGCTGAGGACCCACACCGGTCAACAATGTCTCGCTGCCGAGGAACCACACCGGTCAACCATGTCTCGCTGCTGAGGGCCCACACCAGTCAACAATGTCTCGCTGCTGAGGACTCACAGCGGTCAACCATGTCTCGCTGCTGAGGACCCACACCGCTCAACAATGTCTCGCTGCTGAGGACCTACACCGGTCAACAATGTCTCGCTGCTGAGGACCCACACCGGTCAACAATGTCTCGCTGCTGAGGACCCACACCAGTCAACAATGTCTCGCTGCTGAGGACCCACACCAGTCAACCATGTCTCGCTGCTGAGGACCCACACCGGTCAACCATGTCTCGCTGCTGAGGACCCACACCAGTCAACAATGTCTCGCTGCTGAGGACCCACACCAGTCAACAATGTCTCGCTGCTGAGGACCCACACCAGTCAACCATGTCTCGCTGCTGAGGACCCACACCGGTTAACAATGTCTCGCTGCTGAGGACCCACACCGGTCAACCATGTCTCGCTGCTGAGGACCCACACCGGTTAACAGTGTCTCGCTGCTGAGGACCCACACCAGTCAACAATGTCTCGCTGCCGAGGACCCACACCAGTCAACAATGTCTCGCTGCTGAGGACCCACACCATCAACAATGTCTCGCTGCCGAGGACCCTACCGGTCAACAATGTCTCGCTGCCGAGGACCCACACCGGTCAACAATGTCTCGCTGCTGAGGACCCACACCGGTCAACAATGTCTCGCTGCCGAGGACCCACACCGGTCAACAATGTCTCGCTGCTGAGGACCCACACCGGTCAACAATGTCTCGCTGCCGAGGACCCACACCGGTCAACAATGTCTCGCTGCTGAGGACCCACACCGGTTAACAATGTCTCGCTGCTGAGGACCCACACCGGTCAACCATGTCTCGCTGCTGAGGACCCACACCGGTCAACCATGTCTCGCTGCTGAGGACCCACACCAGTCAACAATGTCTCGCTGCTGAGGACCCACACCGGTCAACCATGTCTCGCTGCAGAGGACCCACACCGGTTAACAATGTCTCGCTGCTGAGGACCCAAACCAGTCAACAATGTCTCGCTGCCGAGGACCCACACCAGTCAACAAAGTCTCGCTGCTGAGGACCCACACCGGTCAACAATGTCTCGCTGCTGAGGACCCACACCAGTCAACAATGTCTCGCTGCCGAGGACCCACACCGGTCAACAATGTCTCGCTGCTGAGGACACACACCGGTTAACAATGTCTCGCTGCTGAGGACACACACCGGTTAACAATGTCTCGCTGCTGAGGACACACACCGGTTAACAATGTCTCGCTGCCGAGGACCCACACCGGTCAACAATGTCTCGCTGCTGAGGACCCACACCGGTCAACAATGTCTGGCTGCTGAGGACACACACCGGTCAACAATGTCTGGCTGCTGAGGACACACACCGGTCAACAATGTCTCGCTGCCGAGGACCCACACCGGTCAACAATGTCTCGCTGCTGAGGACCCACACCGGTCAACAATGTCTGGCTGCTGAGGACACACACCGGTCAACAATGACTCGCTGCCGAGGACCCATACCGGTCAACAATGTCTCGCTGCTGAGGACACACACCGGTCAACCATGTCTCGCTGCTGAGGACACACATCGGTTAACAATGCACAGAACAAGTTGCAGGCTGTTTCTTGCATCAAGCAAGCACTCAAGCGTTTACCTATCAGCCCCGTAGGCGACCAACACTATTGGAGTTGTGTTAATCCTTATAATCTTTACACGAATTAGTTCAGAGACAATGCAACAAAGAACCTAATGGAAAAGTCTCACGTTTCTCATGATTTGACCTCTTCTATTTAACATTTCTGCAAAAAGTATAATTCATCTGATTAAGCTTGATTAGGAAAACTCTCTCTGTTGTCGTTGGAATAAGTTGTAGTGAGAGGTAAAAGAGCGAGTGGGGTTTTATTGCATATGTTAATGGACAGACAGACAGGCAGGCAGATAGACAGACAGAACGAACGAATGAATGAACGATCTTTACTTTCAAAGAGTCACAATTTGGGCACCCAGACCCGTCTTTCATTCGGCCCTTCCAAACACCCGTCTTTCACACTGCAGTTGTATTTTATCAATAGGTATGTTATATTTATATGATAATGTGCATAATAGGAATATCACGGGGGAAAAAACACACAAAAGCATGGTGGTAAAACGCATGCACACAGTGGCGCACGCACGTACACACGCAAACCCACCCACACATTAAAACATGCATATGTACATACCCATATACATTCATACACACACATAAACACACCCTAATTCACCCACATACATACATGCCTACCTACACATACACGCACATTCCATACACAAAGATACATACATACAGATAGACGTGCACACACAGACACACCCACATAAAAAAGCGCACACACACACACACAAACACACACACTCGCACAGGCACAAACACTGATACACACACACTGACACCACACATGCAGACACACACAAGCAGACGCACACACATATACATGCAAAAACACACAGAGATGCAGAAACACACACAAACACATATAGATATACGCACAGAGAGGCACTTGCAGACACACACACGTAGACACACAAACACACACACAATCGCAGACACGCACTTGCACACACACACACACACTGATGCTCACATGTAAGAAAAGGAGTTAATACCAGGGGTTAAATTAAGAATGTAGACATTCCTTTTCTTACATGTGTTTCTGTGTGTATGTCTCTGCATGTGTATGTACGTGAGTTTGCGTGTCAGCTTGATCTACGTGTATGTGGCTGTGTGTGTCTGCGTGTGTGTCTATGTGTCTGCTTTGTGTGTGTGTGCCTGTGTGTATGAATGACTGCTTTTGTTTGTCTGTGGGTGTGTGTATGTGTCAGTGTGAGCATCAGCTGGTTTAGACAAGCCCATACAGAGATACGCTCGGAACCGTTGGGGAGTACGTATGAACAGGTGCAACAGACAAGGGGTGAACAAAGTACGATTCCTAATAAACTCATGGTATCAGACATTGATGAATGTATACAGTGAAGCATGGAGATGGGAAATAGCACTAGATATTTGAGCTGCAAATGTGAGAGAAAGCCGGAGGGACGGGAAGAACAGGAGCAGGATGAGAGATGACCAACGCGAGGAAGAGAAGATGGGGCTGGGAAAAGGAGTTGAGAGAGGACAGTTAAGGCCTGGACATTTAAGTGAGCTGTCGACAAGAACTTATGCTTATGGGTAGATGGTTGAGAATAGTAAACCTGGTTAAGCTTTGCTAGAAGAGATATTTCTACTGGACGTTAAGAGAGACTACCGAAACAGTTGATATAGTTAATAACACGCTCGTAATGAAGTAACATCCTAGCAACATGTATTGAAGTAATGAATCATCATTGTATTAAGGAACGTAACGTCACAAATGAAAAGCTAGCAATAATAAACTAAAGTGTTCCTGGTGTTGTTGAAATGAAATATATTTGTTCGGCTTAAATTGACCTTATATTGTTTTATTAACTAACTTGTTACCAA